ACCCTCCTGGAGTCTGAGCTTGATCCCACTGATGCAAAGAGGTCCAGGTCCTTCTCCAGGCTGCTGGGCCTGCCATTGGTGACAGGGGTTGTCACAGGAGCATCTGGGAGAGACAGAGCTGTGCTGGCTGTCCCCACACTGGCTTGGGGACACCTCCTTGCCCTCCCTGCCAAGGTGCCACCCCACCCAGTGACCTGATCCACACTGCCAGCACCTCCCTCATCCTTCTGGGCCATGGGAGGAACTGGAGCAGGACTCAGGAAGTGTCCTGTGTGAGCTGTTAACCCCAGAGCTGCAGTGTGTGCTGACCACAGAGCTGTTCCTGCAACACTCCAGGCACAAAACTGCTCCAGCATAAAGGAAAACCCCAGGGAAAATGCTCCTGTTGCAGCACTGAGGGCTGGGCTTGGGCTGCACTGGAGCAGTTCAAGCAGAACACTCCAGTCTTCCTATTGTTCACCTGACAGGGAAAATCACCACTAAAAGCTCATCAAATTCACCAGATGGGTTTATAAAGTCACTCAAACCAGGGCAAAAGGGCAGGAAAGGCTCTTACCAAGTCCCAGCAAGTCCATTACTGGCTCAGATTTAGGAGAACTTTTTCTAGACTGCTGCATTTCTTCTTTCTTCTGAGGCTGGAGGGAGGGAAAGAACACCACAAGTCTTGCTCAGATTTGGGGTTTACTTTGTTGTGTCTGAGGCTTTAATGAGATTAACCCTTGAAATCCTTTTTGGATGTAAGTGAAAGAAGTGGAAAATGAAAGTGGAATTCTCTTTGCTCTGCCAAAAAGAGAATTTCAGAGCGAATGTTACTGAGCTGTCTTATTGCCCCAACAGGTTGGAGCCCACTGTCAAATCCAAGCAGGCTCTAAAACTAGGGAAAAGGAGCTGCTCAGGCTGGAAAACTGAGCAGGGAATAGCTGGATTCCAATCTGCTCTGCAGTGCAAGGCAGAGAGCATCTGCTTAATATCTGGGTGAGCAGAGGAAAACAAGCTCCCACCAGCAGAGTGACTCAAAGCACCCACTGCTATGACTGAGGGCAGAAAAAATGCTCCCAGAGCAGGCTGGAGGGGCCTCCACCACTGACCCACCACCATCCCCTCTGCTCTTACCATTTTCACCTTCTCAAAGATGATGGGTTCCAGTTTTCTTTCTGATATGGGCTCGTTGCTCCTTTTCCATTTGTCATCTTTTTCTTTCTGTCAGGGAACACACACTGAGGTGAGGGGGCAGAGCTCAGCATCACACCAGGAGGAAGCTCACACATGATGCTGTCACTGACCTGAAAACCCTCAGATGCAGCTAAAGGGCT